TTGTGTATATATAACAAAAACAATAACAATAGTTGTTAACTGATAACAAAACAAAAAGTAATTGGACGCAATAATAATTGCTGCCATATAATTTCTTTTTATTGCACACATTTTATATCTAATATACATATTTTATTTATTTATTTATTTACTTATTTATTTCATTTCAACAATTTCTAAATATTTACTGTTTATTAAAATGAGAGGTATGACTTGTCTCATACGACCACGTACGACTACGTATAAGTTGAGCAAAGAGAATTATACCATTGCTTAAATTATTAAAGTGATTTTGTTATATTTCATATATTGCAGCATGCATTGGCTAAAATCATTTAATATGTGCAATTTCTGCATGCATAATTAACTTGCATAGAACAAGAAACTATGGATGAGAAGTTCCAAAATAAAATAAACTTTTTTTTTAGTACAAATGTGAAAAGTTTTCTGGAAATGATTAATGAGATTGTCATATAATATAAGAGTAATATCTATGCCTCAACTCTAATAGTTCACACAAAAGTCATTTCAATAGAATACTTTCTGTTTCATCTAAATGCTCATTTATTGATTGTTTTAGGTAAATATCTTATGATCAAAAACACTTTATTACTATAATAAATTGAAAAGTTGTTGAATTAGTTGAATGAATATATTTTAATATATGGATGAATGATTATTTGCATAGTATTTGGGCGATTAGCTGGGTTGACAAGACTGAGGTGCAGGTGACTGCATGCAGTTTGCTAGAACGATTTGTAATTGGATACAGCAACACATGTCACACTGCTTTCTACAGACCCTTTTAAGGGGAACAATTAAAATGGATAATTCGATACAGTGTACCTTCTATTTTGTTGTCTTATAGTCTGTTCACACAAGCTTAGATTACTGTCAAGTAATGGCAATGAAATTCAAAAGACAGCGATCTTTTTTAACTCTTTTTTTTTTATTCGGAAATTTATTACCTTGAGTTTAAGTTTCAATACTTATTGGCCTTTTTTTTCAGTCATTTATTGATTTAATATATTACTTAGTTTATATTTTATTATTAAAATGCTCATCATTCTTTTTATTACACTAACTTATCATTTTAAAAGAAGTAATCATTTCATTGCATACATAGCTTATTTTAAATTATTGAAAATTTTTTTGGAAGTTTAATAAAAATGTGCAAGAATGCAAAGTAACTTTAGGAATATGCTAAGAGTAATTGAAATGATTGTTTTTGTAATACGGTAGGAAGTATTTTCGCTTTGTCTACTGTTGTTTATTCACTCGTGCATTATGACCTTTCACGCACGGAAGGTCAACACTTCAGGAATTCGTTTAAGTGGCTCTGCCCAGTTTCGCTAGTATTATCATTGCGTGCCGCAACACTTACTTTCCGTATTAATCGTGCCGACTTTTGATGTGATGACTATTTGATTCGCATTTTTGGTACCCTAAAAGTCACTTAACTGTGTCAGCAAATACTTTCTTTTACCGATAAAAAAGGGGTCACACGGAGTATTTCTACTTGTTGCAACACTACTGCTAAGCACTATAAGATAGTTTTAGATAAATAAGCCAAACTTTGATGATTACCGCCTAACCTTTTGACCTAATGAAATATACAAGTATATGATAATAGTTTTTCAATCTTATTCATATCATTGATACGCTAACCAATGAAAAAAAAGGAAAATTAAGATAAGATTATGGTCTTCCGTTTTTATTTACAGTTTATAAATGTTAAGAATAATCATTAACAATGAGTTGGAAATAATAAACAGATTGTAATCTGTTTATTCCAGCTTATTTACTTCATTAAAATTATGTTTTCTTTTTAAATACTATTTAATAGTAATAGAGCAGAGAACAACAAAATATAGAAATTTTTTAGTAAAATAAGTGTTGAGATCTGCTTGGAATGAATGTTTGATTTTTTGTTATATTTTATAGTTTATTATCTCAGTGAAATTTGAATATTCTCAATATATTTTATATATTGAATTTTCTCTCTTTTGCATGGTTTAATATTCTAATTTTAAAACTATAGTGTGATCTAAAATAGCTGACAGAGGTCTTTACAAAATATATTCCTGTATTTCTATTGTTTTTATTAATTCGTTTCATAATTTCTATTCCATTTCTCTTCGTATATTGACAAGAGTTATCTGATCAAATCTCTCATTAGATCATTCTTTCAATATGACTGTTCCTTTCACTTTCAAATTTGTAACAGTCGTTTTTTTATTTTCCATAATATTCATCTTTCTGTCATGTTTATCTATAAATAGTAAATAAAAAGAATTCAGATTTCCTGATATTTAAATGGTAAGAGAATTTCGAGAAATACGGATAAAGGTTATTGAGAAGAAAACAAGCGGTTTGCATTAATGTTTTCTTTACAGCTATAACTTTCAGTATAGGGACAAAGTAAGACTAAAGAAGGAGGCAAAGATAATAATTATTATTGCGCCATTACTTTCCTACTTCACTTCAATGTCCTAAATCATATGGCGTTTTTTTTTTTTTTTTTTTTATCACAACTGAGATCACAACTGAGACATATATTGAAGGCTCATTTTACTTTATGTAGTTCGGCTTATCGCGTGACTATTGGCTGATCAGTTGTTCATTATGAAAATTGGAAATTCGAATCACACCTGCGGCATACCTTTCTTGTAAATTGTATTAGTAATTGTATCAAAGGTATTATAGCTATGCGATTGGATTACATATTGCACGATGAAATGATCAAATGTCGGTTGTACTTCTTAAAATATAGTTAAACAGGTGTTTAATTGGAAGAAAAAGAAGAAGCAAGAAGAAGAAAGAAGGAAAAAAACAAGAATGGTAAACAATGAAGAAAAATATTGCAAAAGTGATGAATAAATAAGACAAGCAAAAAGGGCTACCAAACAATTTATTAGACAAATAAAAGAATTCAAATGAATAATAAAAAATATAAAGGATAATTGTTGAAAATGAAATAACAAAAACCGCATTATCATGTTTATTAATAAAATTAATTTTAATTATAAAATGATATTCATTAGAAATATAATAGGTGATGAAATTCACTTCATAAATAAACTCAAACAATAATCGAAATCTTTAATGACATAATTTGTTTTTTTTTTTCATTCCCTTCTGACGATCCCCTTTGATCTTTTTTCGTTTTGCTTTTTAATTCTAATAAACTAATGTATAGATAAAGAAAAAATCCACCTTCTAGACAAACATTTAGAGTTGACATGAAATTAGATATACTATTATCATTTACAAAATTGATTGACTTAATTGAAATTCAATTTGAAATTGATCAATGGTAAATAAAAAAAGAGAGAAATTTTTGGATTATTTTATCACTTAATTAAACCATGTACAGTGGAGCAATATCAAATAAATTGGAAATGAAGGTAAAAATAAACAAATAAAACTTAATAGGTAAATAAGAAAAGAAATTCAGTCCAAAATTATCGTTATTTTCAAAAAAATTTTAAGAGAATAATAATTAATACTTTTACAAAGGTTTAAGAATGCCCTACTTGGAAAATGAATTGTTTCTGGTCTTAACTAATTTTAATAAGCTAATGCACACCCAAAAAACCACCTTAATTATATTTGGAAAATTAATTATGTTTGTTGTAGCATAACATATTACGAAAAATGTTGTAAGACGTAAATAAAATATTTGTATGAACTTTAGAATTTCATCTTTGTAAACTTACTATCTTTATTTTCTTGATATTTTCCGATTGTCAGGAGAGAGCCAATATTATCCTGAATTTAATGATTAATGGGATAACAAATTTTCACATCGTCTCTCAACCTTTCATCACTGACGTACAACGCAAAAAGTTTACGGTAAATTGTTTTCGCATTTGCTTTATTTTTCGGGTTGTGGTTGTTCAGGGAGAGGGCAGAGCTTCCGGTTTTCTGATTTAGAGAACGAAAGGAAGAAGGAGGTATAGGTTTTGTTAGGAAGAAATGATCGAATCATAGTTCCGTCAATGACTTGAAATGCTATCAGTAGTGTGAACATGCAAGTACGTTTTGAATTTCTGGTTAAAAATGAATTTGAGAGGAAATAAAAGGGAGAAGTGACTTTGCGTTTTTGAGAATCTAACGGTGAAGTCTATTTTGGCGAGAGGAGTAGAGAAAGAGAGCAATTTGATTCAAATGGTAACATTTGGTAGTAGTCTTTGAAGTGGTTTTTGTTAATCAGCAAGGCAAAGATTACTAAGCTACTGATCTCTTTTCTCAACTGCGGGAAAATGAGGGAAAGTGTGTAGGAAACTGTATAATCTTTATGCCAGATATAAAAATGAAAGTATTGAAATATTTTCTTATTATGTCTTATAAGACTTTTTCCATCAAATTTAAAAAAAATGTTCTTGAAAAATTCAAATAATTTAAGATACTGATTTTGAAGAATTATTTGCTAATTTTTGACATCAAATTTTCAAATTAAGTTCAAAAGTTGGAAGAAAATGTTGATTTTCATATTTACTAAAACACAACAATTTGACGATGAAGCTATAAGAATTTTTTTTCCCATGTAAGTCGTTGAATTGTAGTCCATAGGTCACTCTATCAACATACATAAATTAATAGATTTATAGCTTTATATAAATTAATAGGTTACTTTTATAAACGAATTTTCGCCTCTGTAACATCGATATATGTCCTTATTTTTACTTAACATACATAGCAAATGAATATAAGGAAAATAGTGCAGTTTAATATCTAGGGTGTATTGATTGCTCAGCATAATTGCATGTAGAGTTAAACTCAATTTCTTTAGAGCGCAGTGAACTTACTTTTTTTTTCCGAAATAAAATTAAAATCATCTTTTCTCTTTTGGCCTGAAACACTCTGGTAAGTAAAATGTTGTTGGAAATATTTATCCGCGTTCATAGCACTCGCCTTGTACGTTTTTTCAATTCCGGTTGTTTTTATTTTAGGTAGTTTCTTGGTGAATTGAGTGAAGAAGTTACGCCAACGTGGGGATGACAAGTGTATGGCGGCGAATACAAAAGTCGAACAAAAAATCTGTCAAATATCGTTTTACAATTACACCGCAGGAATTATTAATTATTTGCTCAACAAAATGGCATCCGCAAACTGTGGTCGTAACTTGCATGCACAGGTCAATGGTACACTCAGATTTCAGTTGCATTTTACACTTCTCAAATAATCAGAAGATCTGGAACCGAATTTATCCTCTTTTAACTGATGTGGATTCATTGGGTAGTAAGAGGCATATTTCATCGTTTGTCTCGAATAGTACACTGAAATTTGGAGTAATGCTGTAATGTCAGCTGAATAAGTGATGCACATAGTTATCGGATGCTGCCACATCAGATAACTGTACACTATTGCACTACCGCAATATTTATAAAAATTGAATATTTACGAATATGCAGATATTTTTATATTAGATTCTTTGATTTTACTTGAATTCAGTGCTTAAAGAAATTTGCAGGAGACGAAAAGTGGAAGGACGAGTACGACGATGGGAGAGTAGCATGATAGATCCTTGTCGAGGCTTAATTGTATGGCCGTCACAGACACCGGATCCATTACTCTTCGACACAACTCTGTATTGTGACGATTCATTTCATCATTATAGCGATAAAGAATGGACTTTGTTGGTAGAAGAATGCACACGGAAAGGCAAACGAAAAGCTATCGCTGCTGTAAATTTAAATATGCCTCTTTTCGTCCAGGTTTGTCGTTACGCACTTTCGTAGGATACTTTGGTGCGATATTCAAGTGTGATTTGTTTCTTGCTATGTATAAGATTTGAGATTAGGTGATCATTGCTTACAATTTGTTCTGGATCTCATCTGATTACTTCTACCTTTTGTATGCTTCGGAATATCACTTTATATACCTTTTATATAAACATTCAAACTGTCTTTCCGGACGGATCATTTGTCTTTTGTAAAGAGATTAAATTTTGATATTTGAAACCTTTTCGTAGTATTTTTAGGGACTTTTTTCAGGATCCAGAAACAGTAATCGAACTGAAATTAAAATTACGACCACTTTGGCCAGAATTATCTCACTGTTCAATGCAAATTTTGATATCATCAGTGCTTATTGGTGATGAAGAAACGAAGTAAGCTAACTATTCCTTATGATACTATTATATAAGCACTAAATTTCGATGCATTCTAAGTTTAACATCTGAGACCCAGTACTAATGTTTGATTATCAGAGACCATTATAATATGTCGAGGAATGTTTCATTTAGTATCGTAATGTTTCATAATGCTCTGATCTTAGAAAAATTCATTAGGACTTTAATTTTCTTTTTTTTTTTTGTTTCTTTTTCATTCAAAATTATTGTTTATAGCGATTTCGATACGAAAAGAGAAATGTCAAGTGTTAACGGTGGGCACAGAGCTAGCATAGCAGGTGATACTGCAGAAACGGAACAGCGAACCAGCAATATAAAAGATGAGTGATGAGGCATACATTGGATTAGAAATGATATTTAGTGTCACATGTGCCCTCAAATCCATTCCATGTCCGATTATGACAGTTAAACTGAAAGCACAAGTTTTTATGGGTAGAAAAAATATCTGTTCAGTGAATTGAGATGTGATCCAGAAACGATGATCTCAGAATCATTTGGGTATTTATTCGTTCTTATTACTTTTGCAACTAAGTATAAATGAGAGGGGTAGAAAAACTACTAGAATTTCTTGTTTTTGAGCGTTTACTTACGTTTGTGGGGGAATACAGTATACCAATATTTTCAGACGGTACAGTTGTTACTAGTTATTCAATGAATTTAAATGACATGGAGAGACGGAAAATGAGCAAAGAAGAAAGGAAGATAGAACTGGTTTCTCAAACTGAAGATGTTTATAAAAGTAATGGTGTTATTGATATGCCTGGAAGATTTCTTGATCACAATCAAAGCTATTCTACAATTCGAGATTCGAGGATTGCAAGTGTTACTGAAAGAAAAAAATCCGGTATATCCATTTTGCATGGTTTAAAGTATACAGAAGCAATACATTTAAACTGTTGAAGATTGCTTTCTGAAACTTATATACTCTGCTGCCCCTTAGGAAATGCACAGTGAATTTAGTTGGTAAAAAAAATTTTTGCATCGTTCATATAACAACATTTTATATATTCTCTATTTTGTCTCATTTCATCAATGAGTCAATAATTTTCATTTAAATCTCGGTAAGCTACACATGCAATTTGTCATATGTGGGAAAGCTGATGAACTTTTAGAACATTTTATTGTAGATATGATATATTAATAAATTCGAATCAATTTATTGTGCGATTATGGAGCATTTCTGGCTGTTACTGACGCGTCGAAACGATGCTAAAAATTAAGAGAAAATAGTGCAGATTTTTGGCTTCTATCATAGATTTCGATATTTTGGGGATGCTCGAAATTTCTTGGTTTCCGTGTTGTGAAATATTTGAACATTTCAGTACACGCAAATGTTAATGAATCTGAGGAACGGAATGCATCCCAGTCGGTAGTAATTGATCACATGTCCCAACATGTATCAAAATCCAGGTTTGTAATTTTGTTAAGTTTTAGATTCTACTCAGTGATTTTTATTCTCCGATTTCGACAGTTATTTTAGTTCATGTCCAGATGTTGCACATTGCATTTCAAGCGGTAATGCGTTTAGTCGATAACATTTATATTGCTGGATGGTAACAGTAAAATTGCTTGTATTTCATAAAATAACTTATTATTTATACAAAATTAACGAAATAGTTTTTCGTCAACGAGAACAAGTACTGAGCATATTTAGACCTTCGTTATGTTCCAGCTAACTTAAGTTCCTTTTCATTTTTCACACTAATTCACTTCTAGTGAACGAATGGAAGCTGAACTTGCCGACGTAGCCTTTCAAACGAAGGAAGGATCGAATTTAAATCTGGAAAAAGAACCTAAAGCATTACCTGCTGTCGTGGAAAACGAGGATCTTCTTACGTGGTGTCAAAGGGTGACCAGTGATTATCCTTCAGTCAGAATAACCGATTTTGCGTATGTTTTTATTTTTGCAGTAGGACTTAATGCAGTAGATGATGTTGAATTTATCGTCGTCCCATCTCAATGTTTAGTCTTAATTGTGAAATTAAAATTGTATCTAACTTTTTTTTTTTTTTTTTTTGCAGGAAAAGCTTTCGTTCAGGTCTTGCGTTCTGTGCAATTATTCATCGCTATCGCCCAGATTTGCTTGGACCGTTTAGCAAACTGAATTTTACAGATTCACACAGCAACCGCCTTGAGAATTGTCGCAAGGCATTGGATGCTGCTACTTTGATTGGCGTTGAAAAGTAATCATTTGTTTATCTGCTAAAGTCATTTATTTAAATCGCATAAATTGCTTTCGATGCTATAAAGTATATGTATTCCTTATCGTTGAGAAATATTTCTTTGTTCTTCATAATTCTTGCTACTTCATTTTTGCTATGTTCATTCATGTTTTATTTCTTTGTCTAGGAAATTGGATCCTGGTATAACTGTAACATTACCAGATCGAAATGATATTCGATGTTTCTTGTCTGAATTACGCATGCTTCTTGTGGATGTTCCAGCTATTAAGCGTGAATCGAGTGTGAATGAATCGGACTATCGAATATCCTCACTCTTCAATCTGTCAGAATCGGAAACAAATGTGAGTATTTCCTATGAACTAAAAGTGAGGAAATATTTAGTCTTATGAGTAGAATTTAAAATTTTGATAGAAAGAACATTAAAACAGTTTTCAGGAATATTTTTAATCTTAAATTTTTTATGATCTAGTCTTATGAGCTTCTCTTTGATTTGAAAAGTTTTGAATTCTTTCCTTGTCCAGATTTTTTTTCGCGGAACACATATTAAAAACTGTTCAGGTTATGAGAGAGCTTGAAATTTTACGTAGACAACGTGAACGTGACGAAGCCGTCGATCTAACCAATATCATTGTGAGTTACTAACTATTCATAAGCTTACTCATAGGAAACTTAATATTTTCTCAAAAATAAAATAAAAAATCTTTGTTTTTATAAGTGATTGATTTTTAAAAAGTGAAACGGCGATTTTCACATTTTGACATTTCCTTTTTTTACTTTTCTGACCAATAAAAAGGATTTTTCAACTGTTTCTACACGTCATCCCTTGGAAAAAGGCATATTTACATGTATAGTTGTACGAAATGTGCCAGTTTATGTTTCTCACAGTTATGCTGTGCTGTTATTGTTGTATTCTTTTTCTCTATTTTCGGCTTTATTTCCATGAAAATGCGTTTTGCCTTAATTACAAATAAATTTTAATTTTGTCCAACCTAAATTTCAGGATGAAGACCGCACAAAATTCAGCGCCGTTGTACCAGGCTCCCAGAAAGTGGAAGATATAAGAAGTATGGAAACCGAAAAAAGATCAGAAAAACTGAATGATCCGTTTGATTCTGATTCTGATTCCGACGCTGCGAAGTAAGCAGATGTTTTTTCTCACTTTTAATCATTTTTGTTAATAATGAAAAAAATTTACGCCTAGAATTGTCCTTCTTAAAAAATAGCTTAAATTTATTGTATCGTAACATCGCTGATGATATTACTGTTGTTCTTTACAAAATAATTTAAAAAAGACATAGTTATTAATTTGAGTTATTTCTCAGTGTACATTATTGGTGTTTCACTATAGTCAAGAGCAATGCATTGGATGTCGGTAGCTTACTCTGGAAAGGAGTATTATATTTTAGGTCATTTTTTCAACAAGTACAAGTTTTTTGTCAAGGCTATTTGATTGTTATTTTCATTTGGAGTTGAAAAACGCTTTTATTCTCTCATTTGCATGTATTTTTTTAATGTGGAAATTTTCATTTGTTTAGCAGTCGCGCGACGTATATACCGGTGGCACATCAGTCAAGCATTAATAGAAATGCAGATGTTAATGTAAATATTAACACAGCTCCAATTTCATCGGTTGTTACAACTCGTCATGTAGAGTTGATGAAAAAACGTCAACAGATATCTTCTGTTCCGTCTATAATTACTGATTCTACGGATGCAGTTGCACGCGAGAGGTAAACAAAATTGGAAGCGATTTTTAAGTCAAATTTATAGAGTCAGCTTTTAGCAAATAATGAGGAAACTTTTTGGAAGATTGTTATAGCTTTTTTTTTTTTGAATTTGGACTTTGACCTTTTCTAATTTTTTAATTAGGATTTCAACCATAAATATACTTCCCCAACTTCATAACAGTTTCCCTACTTTAATCCATTAGACTGGAGTCTCCTCTACCTTCGTTATAGATAATAAACGTTGTAGCATACGATAAATTCTGAATTGGAATGAACAAAATGGTAGTATCATTTGTTTGTTTGTTTTTTAGACGACATCGAGAGGAGGCTCGACGCTTAATGAATGATGCCGCTTCCGATGGTGCAACACTAGTAATTGGTGGTAGTGCACCAACAACGGCCCATCAGTCTCCAGCAGGTTTGTTTAATTTCCAAAACAAAAATAGGCTAAACGGTTTTACTACTTTGTGTTTTGATATCAGTGTTTGTTGGGTGAAGTGTTGCCGATTTTTGTAATGCGATTTTTTATGGCTTAAATAGTTGAGAAGTTTTGAAATATGAATTCTCTTAATAGAGTGCAAATGACGAGATTAATTTGTTAAAAAGAGCATTTTTTTGCACAGTGAAATATTTTTTTAAGCAAATTAACTAGTTACTATCCCCATATGATCTGACTGTGGTAAAGAAGTAAAGAATATAGGTACTGTATAAAGTGCGACAGTAGACTCAAATTACTTAAATAAAACAACTCCAATGTTAAATTTTAAGTACTGGATTCTGATGGTAACTTAAGTCATAAGGTTCCATCGTATTGACTATTTTCCAGTCAGTAATTTAAGAATTTTTTAGTAAGGATTGGAATGAACTGATTTTTTATTTGTTCCAGTGTTGTATTTTCGTTCCTTTTTTTAACTTTTGTTCGCTTCTTAATGACTCTAATAGCTGTTGTTTGTTGTGTGCAGTGGCAACTACGTCTGGCTTGCTTCGAAAGCTGCCGCCATTTGCCAGTAAAGATGTTGGAAGAAGCAATTTACATACACTTGGTGCGTATATAATATATTTTAATTAGCCAGTAATTCTTTGTACTCATAACATAGGTGACTTCCTTAGCTATGGAATAGTTGTATTATAAATGTGCAAGGGGAATTTTTTTTCATTTCGAAGATAAATTCTCAATTTAATTTACTTTCTGCACATGCTTTCATTGGCTAGAAGAAAATGTAGAATTAAGTTTTCATTGCCGATATCGAGGAGGTCGATTCAAAAATTGTTCTTTTTCTCTAACCGGTTTTTTGTTTATCACATTGCAAACCAAGATATAAACTTTTATCTTCAGCTACTAAATCAGATTAGATATGTCTTCCAAGTAAATTTTGTCCATCTGCTGTGTTCATTGTATGAATAACTTATTGATAGAGTACAAAAAAATCATTTGTTATTATCCTTCAATTCTCTACTTTTTTTCCAGAGTAGTTTTAAGATTTTCTTGATTTCAGTTGTATGAGAAAAATATCCGTAACGGATACCTTATGTTAGACATTATGAGACACAAAAATTCATATATGAACTCATTATGATATTCCGAAAGAAATGAATTTTGTATGTTCTATAGCAAACGTGAATGCGCTTTAATGCATATTTGTAGAATTGGTTACTCCAACGGTGAAAATTTACAATTTCAAAAAAATTCAACCTTCTCCAACGTCTCAACGTGAAATATGTGCGTTTGTTGTGTTTTTTCTTCTTTTTCCGTAACTTTTTTCTATTTACCTCTGTCGCATTTTTGTCTTTTTTCTACATTTTTTTTTTTTTTTGCCTGCTCAAGCTTCAAAATAGTGTTGGTGGATAGTTAAACAAATTGCTTTAACCGAACTTCTAAACTGTATTGAATATTTTGATCGTTTTTCAACGGGCTGCATTTGCCATATGTTATGCATGCCAACTATCATTTTGTTGCTAAAAATATTACAAACGATCGAAAATTGCGTGCGATAGTTTTTTATTTTAATGCATTATATTTTATTCGCTCTTTGCAAGAAAAAATTTATGGCTTCATTTAGACTAGTGACTGCAAAGCTTATTTATATTAGAAAAGTTGTTCCTTTGGCTGGGATTTGGCAGGAATGTTCTTTTTTGGTGCAGTAATGTCAATTATTAGTTCCAGTGTTAAAAGTCGATATATTCTGGTCAAACGTAGATCAGCCGATACTTTACAATTCTTAACTTCTTAAAAATGTAAAATAAGTGGATTTAAATACATTTCAGATGAAACACCAGTATCTTCGCCACATGAAAGATCTACTGGAAGATTGTCAAGCAGCATTACTGATGTAAAGTTTTCATTTTATCTCTTTTACCTCCTTTAGAATGTAATTCACACATCAAAATGCTCAATAAATAGGACCATTGCTCAATAGGCTGGTAGTATTTTATACGTTGATGAATGCATTTTGGTAGATTGTTTAAGATTATTCTTGCTTGCTCGGCTTTTTTAATTATACAAATAGAGATGACTTCTATGGCAGTTTTATTGTAGGGTAAAAGCTGAGAGATGAAACAATATTTTTTTTCTTGGTCTGTTTCAAAGTAAGGAAAAAGCCAGATTTCTTTGGATTGCAGTGTTTTTTTTTTAGTAGCTTATGGAGTATAATGAAAAATATGCTGAGAGTATTGACTTTGTTGTTAATTTATTCCAGATTCAAAAAAGTAGCCTCGGTGTCACGCTAGATAGAGCAAAAAGGTATGGCAGCATGAGAGGTCAGGAATTAATTGAAAGCGTTGCAAAAGTAGCTGGGCGAGCGGTTGGTAATATTAGTTTTACCTAAATTGTTTATTAGAATATTAGTTTTAATTAATTTTACTAATAAAAGCTAAAGTGATTACTAAAGTTCTCATCGTCATCTAGTCAGTAGATGGAGTTAAATTATAGAAACTCAAACTTGGATGGTTCTTTGTGATTGAATGTAGTTTATTTCATGATTATTCTAGTACCGATAGATTTTGAGTGCTTTCATGTATGATACCCTGTTGTTGCTCAATTGTAGATTTCAACTGTGAATTTCAAAAAAATCTTAAGATCGGTTAGATTTAATTTTTTTTTCAGTTCACACCATCTTTATCAACTTCGGATAATCCTGTAAATGCAACACCAACGCGAAAACTGATTTCTCAATGGGAAGTGAGTTGTTTCCAGTTCGCGTCTCATTTGTTTTTTGGATTCTCCTAAACTTTATTCACTATCTCAACTGGGCTTTTCTTTTTTAGGACTCCGAGTAATCGAGAGTCTTTCTAACTTGGCTAGGCTGACACTGTTCTTTTCAATCCTACTATATATAAATAATTCTTGAAGTATTCGGCTATATTTGTTTGGTAAATTTATTTAAAATGTTTTTTTTTTAAGAAAGATGGTGCGGACTTGGAAAAGATTCAGGCAGAGTTAAACTGCCTTTCGAAACGTTTGGCACAAGTTTCTGGTGAAGATGAAATTATCTGTTCACAACTTATGAAAGCAAGTTAGATTTTGTTTCATTTTGTTTTATACTTTAGCATTCGCTTTTGGTTTTCTGAAGGAATATTGAAAAAGTCGAATTTCTCGACTATGTAATCAGTAAGGTTTGTCAAACTCTCAATTTTCCAGAAGTTTCGTCGGAAGAAGAGGAACGTTTATTGCAAGAACATATGAGGTTACTTACAGAAAAAGATGCCATTGTTAGACGAACGGAATATTTTAATGTACTGGAACAGTTACGTGAGGTGGAGGATGAAATAACAAAATTGCAGCGTAAATTAGGCTCTGCTTCTGTTATTGATCGTAAGCTCATCAGTTTATTGTGTATTGGATTCAGTATTTTAAATGTTTTAATTTTCTTTTAGGTTTTGAATTTTGTTGCTTTCTTGAAGTCGTTCTGTTGTTCCTTATCATTCTAACAAACCATCGGCATATTTTCTGTTAAAAATTCCTTCTTCAAGATGGAGACGATCTTCACCGCAATGCCTGATTTTCGTTAGCACTAAAGGACTGGTCGCTTCAAATAATTTTGCTTGAAAAAAATAATAGAAAAAGTGTTTTTTAGCGTACCATACAGCTTTCATTTGTAGAAATTGATAAGACTGAAGATGACAAACAGAAGATTGATAAAATGATGGATGATTTGGTTGCGCTAGTGAACAAAAAAGATCGCTTATCACAGAAGTTGATTAGCCATGAAGCCGAGTAAGCCTCTCGCTAGCTTTTGTCGGATAACTGGTTTTGTTAAATCTAACTTTCCAAAATCGAAATGTTGCTTTTTTTAGTGTCAAACATATTTCAATAACAAAAAACATGGAGGAAGGTAATGTAATATGTTAGCCGTCATGTTAATCGTAATGTAATATGTTAACCGGTAATTTTCTGAATTTTTCATAAAAGTTCCCATCCTAAGTTAATTATTATTTACCCTGTTGTATTTTGCTTATTCAGTATTATTTTCCTCCATGATTGTAAAATGGAACACTTTGATTTTGTTACGTTTTTGTAAGCTATAAAATGAAAATATTTGCAGAGATGAAGAGATAGATGAAAGGGATCGATTAACTCTCGAAGCAGCTGCGAACTTTTCACGTGGCACCGAACAACCATTATCAGCTTCCAAAAGGATAATAACTTGGATTCGGTCAGAAATTAGTAGCTGAAAAAAAAAAAATCAAAAATGAGCATTCGAACCTCTTTTTGTTTTGTTTTATTATTGATATATATAGACAAACTTTATTTTCTGCTATATTTCTCTGTAGCTTCCATGATGAGCAGTTAATTCCACCAAGGTGCTCTTTGGTATATTAATCATTTATCATAATTCACATTATACTTAAAATCCATATTTTTAGTAGTACCATTTGCATTTGTCAAGAAATCATTAATTTCGAGCTGGTTTTATTTACAAATGTAAATTAGTGAATTGTAGTTTTCATTAATTTTTTTTGCCGAAGGCATGGGTTATGCACCCAAAAAAATAGAATAATTGATATTAAAAAGTCATGGCTCGTTTAAAATTTGGCAAACGTGCATGTCGATTTTATGTAAATAAGTTAATAATTTGATTAATTAGTTGGAATTTTTAGTCGTTTAGGAATTTTGTCAGACATTTAAAATAATGTACCGGTAATGTTTTTTAATTTTTTCGATATCTTTGTATTATATTTTCATTATAATAACTAAACTAGATAAGATTTTCGTAATCATTAGGGTTTTAGATTATACTTTCCATTATTTTCTGCCATATTAATCCTAAATCATAATATCTCAGTGGAATTTTCTGATTACATTTTTTGTTTGGGTGTTCCAACAAAAAAAAAATCTTGATTGGATATTCCCAGCTGAAAATATAAAAAGTTATTATTCCCTTGCTCACCTGTATAATAAGTGAATATCTACTGCCATAAAATTGCTGTAAATTTTCAAAAGATGTCAGTCATCCCCTACTTATTTATTCCGTATTTTTCCTTTATGATGCCACTGCAGTGCGACAGTGCATTATTCGGAAAGAACTCACGTTGTTAGCCGTCAAACCATTTCAGTCGTTTGATATGTACTTTTTTCCTAGATTACCGGTTTTTAATTAATTTCGGAAATTTTCAAATTCATTAGTTGAAGTACTGCGAATGATTGATAATAAATCTTTTTTTTCTCTGCAGAACCCTTCATTTATCTCTTTCTTTGATCTCTGTAATAATTTTTTTTTACAAATGATATGCTTATATTTGCAACATTTACAATAATTAGTGTATATGTAGTTTACATCAATTATGTTTTATGCACGACTGGTTGATTTGTTCGATCTCACCAACATTCGTTCTTCGAGTTTTCGCGTTGTCGAATTGCTTGTTGACCTAGATGGAAATGATTTTAGGTGATGTTAAAGTGATAAGATAAATAATTGAAAAGTATATATATATATATATATATATATATATATATATATATATATATATATATATATATATATATATATATATTAGCCAATGTTTTCCAGCTGTAGTGCTTGTTAATTGCTTCTTCATTATAGCATAATCTGTACAATATACATCATTTTGTGATTTATATGGTACTTTAGCCACGATTTTTTTGCTGGAATTTGAAAGTGAAACAAATGATGATACATTTCATAAGATGGAGATTAAAAATCAGCAAGTGAAAATGTTTTGAAAGACTGACTTCATTGCCAATATACAGAGTTCATCTGTTCAAAACTTTCCATCTTCTGTTATCGTTGCTATGCCTAGTATATAGGATTGCTTCATTGCTTTTATAGCCAGCTACTTTAATTCCTCGCTATGATCAACTCTGCATAGCTCATCTTTTCTCATTCTATTCTAGTCTTTTATTTATATCACCTTTAATTTGTATATTTTTCATTTTCTCTACTATCTTTTTGCTTATATGCCTTTAATAAATGAACAAAACGAAACAAAGTTGACAAACGCAGCACATTTACAACTACAATAGACACATAGGTAAATAGGTACACACATACGGGTAAATATGTGTAAACGTTATGAGGGAGTAGTTTAGTGTTGCAGACGAAGAATTCATAGCAGTTATGCTTGTCATTTTAATTCAGCAATTTAAAAAACTACATCGATCATTTGGAACGGTGAAATTATGTGCATATTTCGAGAGCAGTTACTCTTGAAATGTGCTTGATATTTTAAAATGCAATTTTTAAACTATAGAATCAGTAAGTTTAATTTTACGTAAAGACTGGTCAGGAAATCTGTGCTAATAAGTTCTAATTATTGAAATAGTTAAACACAAATAACCTGTCTGGTAAGTAATAAGATTGAAATAAAACGAAATTTTGGGTCTATTAGTTTACTGAAAGAGTTCGGGAATTTTCATAAATTTTTTTCATCTTCATTGAATGATTTTTTCTTTGATTTCTGATAAGCAATCGTTTGTCATTATCACTCTATTATTCATTAATTAAACTGTTCATTGCTGATATCATCTATTTATCACTGATACTCTTGTATAAGCTTAGTTGAACTTTTCGAGAATATCATTTTTATTGCTTCCATTTCTTTGCCATTTCTATATTAAATTTTAGGAAATATAAACATTATTATAAGTACTCTGATAAATTCTCTCTTTGCCTTAAATACGAGTCGAAAATTTCTGAAAGTTCTCGTGAAATTAAGAAACAGTAAAGATTTCTATGTATTATATAAAATTATAAGATGTAGCGTTATCGTAAAGTGCCTATGATATAACTGAAGACTATGGCTCATTTTTGAATAGCCATAAGTAAAACTGCCAAATATTCAAAATCGTTATCATAAGCTAAAGTTTTAACTTGAACAAAGAACGAAAGTAAACTAATAACAATAAGTGATAAATATAAAATTATAAGATGGAATATTGATATCTCTTAAACAGATTTTGATAAATTTATATAAACAAATTTGTCACATATATTTGAATCATTTTGGTTTGACAGAGCAGATATAAAGGAAAACTTCGTTGATTCAAAAATGCTTTTTCTTCAAAGTTATATTTAGTTACCATGAACGCGATTTAGATTTAAAAAACGGAAAAAAAAATAATTTCTGTAGCAATTCTGTGATTAATAATAAAAATTTGAAATTGACAAATGATCTAATTATTTTAAATTTTATTGGGATCATTAGATAAGTTTTTGATGAATAAAACACACTCTTTCAATTACTCATCTGTATCATCTCGATCATCGGATCATTTTAGCTAATTCATCCAATTGATTTGACAAACCCGAAATGAATACATATGCATCAATGTTTACATTGAAATTGAATATGAATTAAATACTGTTTAGCTGGAATGTTAAAATATTCCACATTTAAGTATGTCAAGTAAGTAAGTAATAAATTTTAAAAAATAAAAATTTTTCATTTTTTTTTTTTTTGAATTTTTTTTTTTTTTAATTGAAATAAGTTGAGCTAATTAGATAATATTTGAAATGAACACTACTAGAATAAAATGAAATAAAAGTGATATGAAATGCTGGAAAGTACTTATTCTTTGATCATAACAATATATCTATTGATTGGTAAAGATGAACCAATTTTAATTTCGATATTGATTTGATGAACCAATTTTAATTTCGATATTGATTTGATGAACCAATTTTAATTTCGATATTGATTTTAGTCCAACTTCAGTTTTTGTCTCAAATAAAATAATTGTTGTTTGATCGGTTGTTCGTTCCTCTTTCTCTGTGCTTGCTCGTTCGTTCTTCCAATGTGTTTATGAGGAAATTTTGTGCTTCGGTGGGATAATAATGACAGCAGCATTCGCTCCTTGTTGCACGGGGTGACATCGAAAGTATTGATTCTGCTTTGCTCTCATCTATGTATGCTATCTGTGCATTTGTCTCCAGTGGACAAGTACTTAGGAGAGCCTAGGATTTGACCGATCCAAAGGCATTTTTCTGCTTCAAATAAAACTCACAGGCCTTTTTGAGGTTGATCCGATGCATCGGGTGTTGATGCTTGTTCAGTGCTTTTCATTGATACCACTGCTCAATCCTTTACTTTCTTTCCCTTATTCTCTATTCCTCTCTCTCTCTCTCTCTCTCTCCTTTTTTCCAAAAAAGTTAGTATATAAAAGTTTACAAGCAGAAGTGGAAGGGCAAAGACGAATTAAATTTTTCTCGATAAACCATTTTGAGGAAAACCAATAATAGTTTTTACCAGAATTTTAATTTTAAATTTTCACTTTTTAAATTACTCATTCATTTTTATATTTACAAACGTTTTATTTACACAAAATGTTCATTCCGTTTTGTATGCTTTTCTAACAAACTATACTAGCAATTATCATTGAGAAGAATACGAAAGAATTTATATCAAAAACAAAATTGCAATTTCTCAAAAGTTTTTTTCTTTTTATTTCTGAAATTGATTTTTTTTTTTTTTTTTTGCATCCTTAAATATGTTATTACTGTATAAGCTATCCTAGTGTACTAACTAAACAAATCAGAATATTTTGATTAGTTGAGTTCATCTGAATTACTTTAGGTAAATTGGGATGATTGGGCTTCTTAAAAAGTGCCTAGCGATTTTAATAGCCAAATGAATTTATTAGCTTTTTCTTTACATTAACACATGAATGCTGCATTTTTTTTTTTTTGCTTTTTTCAAGCTTTTGCTTTATATTTTATCTTTTGCCATGCATAATTTTATCATACGCTTCTAAACTTAAAGTTTCTTTTTCTTCCTTCAATTTCCTTACACCTTTAATAAAAAGTTTTACTAATACCAATACACATACACCTTTAGACTTAAAAATGTATGTGTATTTTGTATGATTCATACTGTAATTGATTCATTCACTTGAAGTATTATTTACATATATTCTAATTAATAATTATATCATAAATATTCCATAAATTCAAAAAACTTCGAAAAATTTTTTTCCAAAAATTTTTTTTTTACATTAAATTACTGACCGTTACGTTTCTTTTAAGCATTCTTTCTTCTTATTTTTAACAATTACAATTAATGCTAAAGAGTTGTTGAATGATCGCAAATAATTTATTGCTATTTATATTATATTAATAGAATATTATAGGACTTTTAATTTGTTTTCTGTTTACGATTTGTCGTCTAATATACAATTGAATTATACATCGATCATTTAATATTAATCAGATGGAAAA